CGCTGCACCCGGTAAACGAGCACCATCAAGAACAGAACAGTCGTTAGACTGCGATTGTTTATTGGTATTCGTTCTCTTTGCTTTTCGGCGTGTTTACCCGGGAACAACGGTACCGAATAAACACGCATCCACCGCGTGGACGCTTTTTTTCTCCCAATTCCGGGACGTGGAAGCTTCACTTGCGTCGGAGGACAATTTCGGGACATTTCGTGTCTTGTTCCAATTTCACTCCGTGCTCGAGATTGATATTCGATAATCGTAGCGATAACAAAGATATATGGCAACCTTAATGAACGAAATAAACACAACCGCGAATGAAATATATATAAGTAACGAATAAAACTGAATCGTCGATGGAGTTTCATATATTCACTCGAATAACACGCGAAAGTTTTCAATCGAATTCGTCGAACGATCCCGGCAAGACGCAACCGTTGCTCGTTCCGCCATGAAACCGGACCGTTCCGCCGCGAACTGGGACACAATTGCACTCAGCGTCCCGGACGAGTCAACTATTTCCACTGGAATAAGATGTGACAGACGGACGTCGTCTTACGACGGAACTTCGACGTTCCATCAAGGACCTCGACGGAACGAGCATCGTGGAAAACGTCCGTCGTTGGCTGGATCAAAAGCAGGACCCTCGTGAAACTAGCCCGCCGGAAAGATCGCAGCTGAATCATCCCGGCGAGACTTCAAAGCTGCGAACGATACCGAACGAGCGAACCGTGGCGTCCCTCCGCCGGCCCTCCTCGCCGCAGACCCTTATTAAAGTTATTACACGTCACTTCGGAAAAATTGGCAGTACGGTAGTGAATTGAAAGACTCGTTATCATGTCCTTTGCTTCCCCTCGATCGCGTTCTCTCGATCGTCTCGCTGGACCGAGCGATTTTTCAATCACGACTCGCGCGGTTCGTGGCGATCTTCCTTACGAGATTGACAAAGAATTTTCGAGAAAATATTAAGATGTCGGATACTTTAGATTTAGAGTTGCAAGGATTTTTCTTACTGAGACGCTGAGCTGTTTGAATATTAGAGGATTGTTTTAAGGAGAAATTTAAGTATCCTCGATTTTTCTAGTTATTAGTAGAGCAAGAATTTTATATATGTTTCTGAATAGGAGAACGTTTGAATTACGAATCTGACAAGTGTGAGAATCTATGGGAGGCTCGCAACGTTTTCACCCGGTTCTGAATACGGCGAAAAGTTCGACGCATTCCTGTTGAACTACTTCCGAATGCAGTTCCCTCCCAGCTGCGAATTTGCATAAAGTTTCGCGCCTTGATTACCAGTCCGCAGTTCCGAAGAAGGAAAATCTGTGTACCCGTCCCGAAAACCGGTGGCCGGAGAATAATTCCGGCGGGAATAGTTTTCCGCCGTGAAACTCGGCTAATTTAACGCGCGAGTTGTCAGACGAGCTCTCATAAAAATCCTCTAAAATCGAAGTAATTCGACGGACCGGGGATGATCGACAAGTTAAAAGTCGTCGCGTCGAGTTAATGAATTCGGAATAAAGACGGAACGGGACTTTTTCACCTTGTCCCGACGGTGACTCTGTGAGTTCTTTGAGGACACTACTTTCCTGGATCTACTTCCAGCCCTTGTTCTCATTTATCTCTGTTCCCAAGAAAAGTAGTTGCGCCGTGTTTCTCGGGCGAGAGCGAAGGGTGTCAAGCATCATCCTCCTCGCATATACACTCGGCGCGTGCACACGCACCGCAAAGCGTCGCGGGAAGCCTTCCGCCCGTTTTATTTCCCTTTGTCCCGTGAAAATTGCTTGCTCAGCGGTCTCTCGCGGGTCCAATCGACGCGTCTCGCGCGATTTCCGGCGCGCAGGTGATCGCCGACGCCGAAAATCGCGGAGAAATCGAACCGAAGGAATTCATCCGTCGCGGACAACGAGTTACCACGATGACGGGAGTCTCTTCTATAAAAAATAAATCATACATTGAACTTCTAAGTATCAGAGGGAACCAACAGTTCATTATACACTTCTTTGTTGTTGAAAGAATTCAACGATTCGTCTGCGACTTTAAAGTTTAGAGAGTCCGACGAGACTTGTTTCTTTGCAACAAGAGAGAGTTCCGTACTTTAAACTCTGAAGCAGCGACTTCACAGTCTAAAGTTCGCAAACTTTAAAGTCCAGATACAAGAACCAGGTGTCTTCAACGCGACATTCGCCCTGAAAGAGTTAAAACTCCGTCGAGATCAAGATCAAGATCAAACGATCGAGGCGCGCGGCGAACGCTGCGTATTCCGTTATCAATGTCCAGTGAATCTTCGACAGCGTCGCCGCGCGAAGAGGAAGCAAAGCCGCGACTACTCGCCAAGAACCAGAGATTAATTAGTTTCGCAGGTAACTAGACTTGAAGTTACTCACGCACGCAGCTAAAGTACATCTCGCTTCGTTATCTCCGTTTAAATTCTCCTTCGCTTATCCCCGCAGTACGCAGTTTTCTCGCGGGCGACAAGATGGCGGCTCGGCTTAACCGGTCGGCCATTTTTCTTCGTTAACGCGCGCGCCGCGCGCGGCGAAGTTTCGTATTTACTTTTTTCCAGCGCGGTCCAGGGAAAGGGAGAGATAAAAGAAATGGAAATTTACGGCGATCGGTCGATCGATTCCACTTAAATGTCGGACGCGGAAAATGCGATTCCGCCACCGGCC